TAGTGCCATTTATTGTACACGGAAGATGCCCAGATCCTACGGTGATGGGCAGCCACATAAAGGTAGGGAATGATCCAGTGGATCGCCGTAGCAACTGAGCCAAGGATACATGAGCATCCGGAGGGGAAACTGAGGCCCAGAGAGAGATGTAGTGACTGGCACAGGGAAATGAGCAGAGATCTCCAGCATCCTACTCCAGTGCTTCGGCCTCTTGTCGACTGTTCTGCTGGGGCCCAGTGGGAGGTCTCTTGAAGAGGGAAAAATGTGTTTCTCTTAAAATGTCAATTTCATCTGCTGTCGGAGGTGGCGGGGGGGAGGCTGCCATAAACCCCACCCCTGACCAGGCTTAAACACCAACGTTGTCCTGCCTGTCTCCATCCGATGCTTCCAGCCACAACATGACCCGAGCGAGTCCTAACCATCCCCAGCTGGGCGGCGAGCACAGGGTGGATCCAGCGCTTGTAGGAACATGCCGGCGGCTTGGTTTGTAAAAAAAAAAAAGCAGATGGGGAATAAAATGGAGACCAAGGGTCGGACCGGGATGCTTGCCTAAGAGCAGCTGCGTGGGAAACGGGTCGGCGGCGGGGTGTTAGCCTGCCATCGCTGCTCACGGTTGGTAGCTCGTCTTACTGAGGCAGATTTGGGGTTTGTGCATGGGGGCTGAGTCTCCCAGGATTGGGGCACGAGTCTAGGGTGGCAATGACCCCCCAGATGTGATGAGAGATCGTTAATAATGGGGCCTCTCCCAAATAGTTGCCAAAGCAGCACCAGAGCCGTCTGCAGATGCAAATGCAGATTAGCAATGGGGTGCGGTTGTTTAGTTTGTTTTGCTTTGGTTTTGGAGTGGGCATAACCATCGGAAGACAGGACCAAGGGATGGGGTGGCTTGGCCATCATTTCTGGGGGCTGTAAATCAAGACTGGGTGCCTTTCTAAAGGAAACACAATGGTCCCTTCTGGATTTAAACCTTCTGCATGGATGCAAGGTGCCAGGACTTAGCCAACCTTCCGAGTGGGTTGGAGGGGAGGGCTGGGCTGGAGGATAACAGAGTTTCATCCAAATGGTTTTTCCATGAAAAATGCCAAAAGGTTTGGAGAAAAACACGTCAATTTTGAAATTTCATTTTGAAACCTCCCCCTCCTCCCTTTCCCGAAAGGCAGCGGTTGGGCTGGGCCAGAAAAGCGCAGGACGCAGGACGGCTTGATGCAGAGATTCACTGGTTTTCTATTTTAAAAAATAGAAGGTCAAAATCTGAACAAAACGTTTTTGTTCAACCTGAAACGCTTTGGTTTTTTTCCCACCCTCCGAATTTGTTTCATGGGACATTTCTAAGTGGTGTGTGTTTGTTTGTTGCTTGTTTTTCCTTCTGTTTCGGAATAGGAAAAGGTTTGCAGTGGCAGAATTTGACACGAAACAGAGTCTGTGTTCTCGCCCGCGGCTCTGATGGCCGAGCGGATCCCCTTGCCCCAGGAGGCAGGTAACCAAAACGAAACGGGCCAGAGGCTCATCCCAGCCAGTCTCTCTGCCATGGGTTAATATCATCCGGCTGTGAATGGAGTTGGCGGGGGTAGGGTGACCAGACAGCAAATGTGACAAATCAGGACGGGGGTGGGGGATAATAGGAGCCTACATAAGAAAAAGACCCAAAAATCGGGACTGTCCCTATAAAATCGGCACATCTGGTCACCCTAGGCGGGGGGAAGGTGCCTTAGCGAGGGGTGCTGCGAGGAGCAGGAGAAACTGACGCAGCCCCATGCCCCAGCGTCGCCCAGAATGCATGGAAAAGGGGAAGGAACTGACTCCTCGGACTTTAACCCCTGGCTGGGGGCCACCCTCCCGGTGCCAGGGGAGGGCGCTGCAGGTTTGGGCCCTGGGGCTGTACATGGGATGGGGCTGCTAAGATCTGTTTGCATTCGGTGACTCACCTTGGGGGCGGGGCTGGGCTGCACCCCTGACTCCACCCTGAGCCCCCAGGGCGAAGGAGGGTGATTCCAACCCGCTCAGGAGAGGGTGGCAGGGAAAACCCACCACCGCCCACCCCGCCCTGTTGCTGCAGGGGTTGGCAGGCATGCGGCTTGGATGGGAGATGAGTTAAAGCAGCAATAAGATTAATCGTGGCTTTTACCGGAGTCTCCCTGGGAGACAAAGGAACAAAGCACCCTCCCGTCCCGTGAAGCAGCAGCCCAGCCCAGCTGCAAAAGCAGCAGTTCCAGGAAGGGAGCTGGCCCAGGCGCCCAACCCTGTGTCCCACAGCCAGCGTTCAGGGGGTGGGAGGGGGGTGACTCCTGGGCTGGCACCCAGCCCGGGAGAGCCCTGGGGTCATTTCAGCCCTCGGATGTCTGCCTTGTGCTGGACGCCGCCGTGACAGCTCATCATAGTCATGCGGAGCTCTCGCCATGAGTGCTCATTCTCCCCATTTCACAGATGGGGAAACTGAGGCATGGAGGGGCAAGTGACTTGCCCAAGGTTACCCAAAAGCAGAGCCGGGAATAGAGCCCAGGAGTCCTGAGGCCCAAGCTGGTGCATTAGCCACTAGGCAACACTGTCTGTAACAGGGGGTTAGTTTAGGGATAAAGGGCTGGATGGATAAGGAAGGCGCTGAGCTGGGCCTCAGGAAATCTAGGCTCCCTAAATGAGTCACATCATTGTGCCATGCCTCAGTTTCCCCATTGTGTGTGAGCTGAAAGGCCCCACTGAAACAGGTTTTTTGGGATGGCAGGGGGGTGGCAGGTTTTTCTGCTTAATAACTAAAAAGACATGAAAAGCCAAGTTCACTGTAGGTTTTTAGCTCTGTCCAACGTGTTATCGTTACCGACCGAGAGCAGGGCCCCCATCATGCTGGACGCCACATGGACAGTGGAAGAAGACCAGGAGGGCGGGGCAAGGGGGGCGTAACCCAGCTCCGTTATGCAGGGAGCTCTGTCCTGGGTGCTGGCTGGGCCACACTTGAGCCTTCTGCAGCCTTGGCTTTTAGTTCAGGCCGGAGAGACTTGTGTTTTAAGATCCAGAGAGTCCATGTTTGATCTCCCCTCCCACTGCCAAAGGGGGTCAGGGTCTCAGAGAGACCCACTCGGCTCCCCTCCCACAGCCAGGAACAACCCAGAAATCTTGATGCCCTGCTGTAACTGCTAGACCCCACTCCCCTCCCGGAGTTGTGGAGAGAATCCTGGCTCCCAGGGATGCACAAGGAGACACTAATGCTCAGGTCCTGCAGGTGCCTCCTTGAGGAAGCCGCCTGCCTGGTGATAGCTGCTGGGCCCGTGGCTAACACCAGTGCTTCCCTGTGTAGCCATGGCTTAGCTGGCCCCAGGCCATTGTGTCCCCCCCCCCCCACCTAATTAGGGAAGCCATCAGCAGGCCCATTGTGTGGGGATGAGGGTCATTGATAAGGAAACTCTGCCCATTGTCTGCTAATGAACCACTCTAATGAAATCAACACCCCCTCCCCACAGGGATAATTACCCTGCCCCAGTCACTGTCTGCTTCCCTGCCTGCCCCCCCACACAGCCCGCCCCCCAGGGGTTATTGTGTTGCAGAATCTAACCTCCGCTCCCTTCTGTGTCTGTTAATAATAGGGTGCTTCTAGGCCAAGGGTCTTTCCTCCTGTGCTTTACAGAGTGTGTGGGCATTGCCTGCCTGAGATGCAGCGACCTCTGGGGTGGGACTGTTTCAATGCATTCTAACGGCAACATTGCTAGTAAATCTCTTTCCTGTTCTGTGCCTCAGTTTCCTCATCTGTAGGGTACTGACCTGCCTTTGCAAAGCGCTTTGAGATCTAGGGCTAGGGAGGGTCTAGGCTTGGCTGTATGGAGTCCACCCAGTCCACAGCCTAGACCCAGCAGACCCCCCACCTCCCGGGGCCTGCCAGATTAGCAAATCTGAGGGGAAAGGCATGGACATGGCTGGACAAACCCCCGTATGTCCCTCCAGGCTAATGACGGGGGTGGGCAAACACGTGCCAGGCTGAATGATTTGCTGGCTGCATGGCCTTCCTCTGCCTTGGGCCTATGCTTGGGAGCAGGCGAAGCCTGGAGGCTAGGGTGATGGGCCCTCTGGAAGCATCCGCCAGGGCTAGGTCATGAGAGCAGCAGGTGCACGGAGGGTGGGGGGGTGGGGATGGGGTAGCAAGTCTGATGGGGGGAATTTGTATAATGGGTGTGTGGGTGTGTGTATAGGGTGTGTACAGTGTAGGTGGGTTGGTGTGTGTATGTGGTGTGTCAAATCGTGTGTAGTGTCTGTGTGTACGGTGAGTGGTTTGTGCACATGGTCTGTACAGTGTGTGCACACGATGAGTCGTGTGGGTGTACAGTGTGTGTGTGTGTGCATGCAGTGAGGTACTGTGCGTTGTGTACTGGGGGTGCATAGGGGGCTGTGTGCATGGTGAGGTGTGTGTGTGCATGCAGTGAGGTGGTGTGTGTTGTGTAGGGGGCTGGGTGCGTGGTAAGGTGTGTGTACAGTGTGTGTGTGTGGTGATCTCGGGTGTGTGTGCACGTGTGGTGAGGTGTGTGTGTGTGTACAGCATGAACGTGTGTAGTGAGGTGGGGGTGTGTGTGTTGTGTACAGAGGGTACGTAGGGGGCTGTGTGAGCGATGAGGAGGTGCGTGCGGTGAGATGGTGTGTGTGTGTTGTGTACGGAGGGTACGTAGGGGGCTGTGTGAGGGGTGAGGAGGTGTGTGCGGTGAGGTGGTATGTGTGTGGTGTACAGAGGGTACGTAGGGGGCTGTGTGAGCGATGAGGAGGTGTATGCGGTGAGATGGTGTGTGTGTGTTGTGTACGGAGGGTACGTAGGGGGCTGTGTGAGGGGTGAGGAGGTGTGTGCGGTGAGGTGGTGTGTGTGTGGTGTACAGAGGGTACGTAGGGGGCTGTGTGAGCGATGAGGAGGTGTGTGTGGTGAGGTGGTGTGTGTGTGTGTGGTGTACAGAGGGTATGTAGGGGGCTGTGTGAGGGGTGAGGAGGTGTGAACGATGAGGTGGTGTGTGTGTGTGGTGTACAGAGGGTACGTAGGGGGCTGTGTGAGCGGTGAGGAGGTGTGAGCGGTGAGGTGGTGTGTGTGTTGTGTACAGAGGGTACGTAGGGGGCTGTGTGAGCGGTGAGGAGGTGTGTGCGGTGAGGTGGTGTGTGTGTTGTGTACAGAGGGTACGTAGAGGGCTGTGTGAGCGGTGAGGAGGTGTGTGCGGTGAGGTGGTGTGTGTGTGGTGTACAGAGGGTACGTAGGGGGCTGTGTGAGCGATGAGGAGGTGTGTGCGGTGAGGTGGTGTGTGTGTGGTGTACAGAGGGTACGTAGGGGGCTGTGTGAGCGGTGAGGAGGTGTGTGCGGTGAGGTGGTGTGTGTGTGGTGTACAGAGGGTACGTAGGGGGCTGTGTGAGCGATGAGGAGGTGTGTGCGGTGAGGTGGTGTGTGTGTTGTGTACAGAGGGTACGTAGGGGGCTGTGTGAGCGGTGAGGAGGTGTGAGCGGTGAGGAGTGGGGGTGTGAGCGGTGAGGTGGTGTGTGTGTGGTGTACAGAGGGTACGTAGGGGGCTGTGTGAGCGGTGAGGAGGTGTGAGCGGTGAGGTGGTGTGTGTGTGTGGTGTACAGAGGGTGCGTAGGTAGGGGGCTGTGTGAGCGGTGAGGAGGTGTGTGCGGTGAGGTGGTGTGTGTGTACAGAGGGTAGTAGGGGGGGGGCTGTGAGCGGTGAGGAGGGGGGGGTGAGGGGTGTGTGTGGTGTACAGAGGGTACGTAGGGGGCTGTGTGAGCGGTGAGGAGGTGTGTGCGGTGAGGTGGTGTGTGTGTGGTGTACAGAGGGTATGTAGGGGGCTGTGTGAGCGGTGAGGAGGTGTGTGCGGTGAGGTGGGTGTGTGTGTGGTGTACAGAGGGTACGTAGGGGGCTGTGTGAGCGGTGAGGAGGTGTGTGCGGTGAGGTGGTGGTGTGTGTGTGGTGTACAGAGGGTACGTAGGGGGCTGTGTGAGCGGTGAGGAGGTGTGTGCGGTGAGGTGGTGTGTGTGTGGTGTACAGAGGGTACGTAGGGGGCTGTGTGAGCGGTGAGGAGGTGTGTGCGGTGAGGGGTGTGTGTGTTGTGTACAGAGGGTACGTAGGGGGCTGTGTGAGCGGTGAGGAGGTGTGTGCGGTGAGGTGGTGTGTGTGTTGGTGTACAGAGGGTACGTAGGGGGCTGTGTGAGCGGTGAGGAGGTGTGTGCGGTGAGGTGGTGTGTGTGTGGTGTACAGAGGGTACGTAGGGGGCTGTGTGAGCGGTGAGGAGGTGTGTGCGGTGGGTGGTGAGGTGGTGTGTGTGTGGTGTACAGAGGGTACGTAGGGGGCTGTGTGAGCGGTGAGGAGGTGTGTGCGGTGAGGTGGTGTGTGTGTTGTGTACAGAGGGTACGTAGGGGGCTGTGTGAGCGGTGAGGAGGTGTGTGCGGTGAGGTGGTGTGTGTGTTGTGTACAGAGGGTACGTAGGGGGCTGTGTGGGGGCTGTGTGGAGGGTGAGGGGGTGAGGTGTGTGCGGTGAGGTGGTGTGTGTGTGTGTACAGAGGGTACGTAGGGGGCTGTGTGAGCGGTGAGGAGGTGTGTGCGGTGAGGTGGTGTGTGTGTTGTGTACAGAGGGTACGTAGGGGGCTGTGTGAGCGGTGAGGAGGTGTGTGCGGTGAGGTGGTGTGTGTGTGGTGTACAGAGGGTACGTAGGGGGCTGTGTGAGCGATGAGGAGGTGTGTGCGGTGAGGTGGTGTGTGTGTGGTGTACAGAGGGTACGTAGGGGGCTGTGTGAGCGGTGAGGAGGTGTGTGCGGTGAGGTGGTGTGTGTGTTGTGTACAGAGGGTACGTAGGGGGCTGTGTGAGCGGTGAGGAGGTGTGTGGGTGAGGTGGTGGGGGTGTGTGGGTGAGGTGGTGTGTGTGGGGTGTACAGAGGGTGTAGGGGGTGTGTGGGGGGGTGAGGTGGTGTGGGGAGGTGGTGTGTGTGTGGTGTACAGAGGGTACGTAGGGGGCTGTGTGAGCGGTGAGGAGGTGTGTGCGGTGAGGTGTGTGTGTGTGTGGTGTACAGAGGGTACGTAGGGGGCTGTGTGAGCGGTGAGGAGGTGTGTGCGGTGAGGTGGTGTGTGTGTGGTGTACAGAGGGTACGTAGGGGGCTGTGTGAGTGTGAGCGGTGAGGAGGTGTGTGCGGTGAGGTGGTGTGTGTGTGGTGTACAGAGGGTACGTAGGGGGCTGTGTGAGCGGTGAGGAGGTGTGTGCGGTGAGGTGGGGTGGTGTGTGTGTGGTGTACAGAGGGTACGTAGGGGGCTGTGTGAGCGGATGAGGAGGTGTGGGGTGTGTGTGGTGTACAGAGGGTGAGGGGGCTGTGTGAGCGGTGAGGAGGTGTGAGCGGTGAGGTGGGTGTGTGTGGTGTACAGAGGGTACGTAGGGGGCTGTGTGAGCGGTGAGGAGGTGTGTGCGGTGAGGTGGTGTGTGTGTGGTGTACAGAGGGTACGTAGGGGGCTGTGTGAGCGATGAGGAGGTGTGTGCGGTGAGGTGGTGTGTGTGTGGTGTACAGAGGGTACGTAGGGGGCTGTGTGAGGGGGGGTGAGGGGCGGTGAGGTGGGTGTGTGTGGTGTACAGAGGGTAGTAGGGGGGCTGTGTGAGCGGTGAGGAGGTGTGTGCGGTGAGGTGGTGTGTGTGTTGTAAGAGGGTACGTAGGGGGCTGTGTGAGGGTGGGTTTGGGGGTGAGGAGGTGTGTGCGGTGAGGTGGTGTGTGTGTGGTGTACAGAGGGTAGTGGTGGGGGCTGTGTGAGGGGGGTGAGGAGGTGTGTGGGTGGTTGGTATTGGTGGTGTGTGTGGTGTACAGAGGGTACGTAGGGGGCTGTGTGAGCGGTGAGGAGGGTGTGTGCGGTGAGGTGGTGTGTGTGTGGTGTACAGAGGGTATGTAGGGGGTGTGTGAGCGGTGAGGAGGTGTGTGCGGTGGGTGGTGTGTGGTGGTGGTGTGTGTGTGGTGTACAGAGGGTACGTAGGGGGCTGTGTGAGGGAGGTGTGGGTGAGGTGGTGTGTGTGGGTACAGAGGGTAGGGGGTGTGTGCGATGAGGAGGTGTGTGCGGTGAGGTGGGGTGTGTGTGTGTGTGTGTGTACAGAGGGTACGTAGGGGGGGCTGTGTGAGGAGGGGGGGGGGTGGTGTGAGGAGGTGTGTGCGGTGAGGTGGTGTGTGTGTGTGGTGTACAGAGGGTACGTAGGGGGCTGTGTGAGCGGTGAGGAGGTGTGTGCGGTGAGGTGGTGTGTGTGTGGTGTACAGAGGGTACGTAGGGGGCTGTGTGAGCGATGAGGAGGTGTGTGCGGTGAGGTGGTGTGTGTGTGGTGTACAGAGGGTACGTAGGGGGCTGTGTGAGCGGTGAGGAGGTGTGTGCGGTGAGGTGGTGTGTGTGTGGTGTACAGAGGGTACGTAGGGGGCTGTGTGAGCGGTGAGGAGGTGTGCGGTGAGGTGGTGTGTGTGTGGTGTACAGAGGGTACGTAGGGGGCTGTGTGAGCGATGAGGAGGTGTGTGCGGTGAGGTGGTGTGTGTGTTGGTGTACAGAGGGTACGTAGGGGGCTGTGTGAGCGGTGAGGAGGTGTGTGCGGTGAGGTGGTGTGTGTGTGGTGTACAGAGGGTACGTAGGGGGCTGTGTGAGCGGTGAGGAGGTGTGTGCGGTGAGGTGGTGTGTGTGTGGTGTACAGAGGGTACGTAGGGGGCTGTGTGGGGTGAGGAGGTGTGAGGGAGGGGGGGGTGTGTGCGGTGAGGTGGTGTGTGTGTGGTGTACAGAGGGTACGTAGGGGGCTGTGTGAGCGGTGAGGAGGTGTGTGCGGTGAGGTGGTGTGTGTGTGGTGTACAGAGGGTACGTAGGGGGCTGTGTGAGCGGTGAGGAGGTGTGTGCGGTGAGGTGGTGTGTGTGTGGTGTACAGAGGGTACGTAGGGGGCTGTGTGAGCGGTGAGGAGGTGTGTGCGGTGAGGTGGTGTGTGTGTGGTGTACAGAGGGTACGTAGGGGGCTGTGTGAGCGGTGAGGAGGTGTGTGCGGTGAGGTGGTGTGTGTGTGTGTGTACAGAGGGTACGTAGGGGGCTGTGTGAGCGGTGAGGAGGTGTGTGCGGTGAGGTGGTGTGTGTGTGTGTGTACAGAGGGTACGTAGGGGGCTGTGTGAGCGATGAGGAGGTGTGTGCGGTGAGGTGGGTGTGTGTGTGGTGTACAGAGGGTACGTAGGGGGCTGTGTGAGCGGTGAGGAGGTGTGTGCGGTGAGGTGGTGTGTGTGTGGTGTACAGAGGGTACGTAGGGGGCTGTGTGAGGCGGTGAGGAGGTGTGTGCGGTGAGGTGGTGTGTGTGTGGTGTACAGAGGGTACGTAGGGGGCTGTGTGAGCGGTGAGGAGGTGTGTGCGGTGAGGTGGTGTGTGTGTGGTGTACAGAGGGTACGTAGGGGGCTGTGTGAGCGGTGAGGAGGTGTGTGCGGTGAGGTGGTGTGTGTGTGGTGTACAGAGGGTAGGGGGCGTAGGGGGCTGTGTGAGCGGTGAGGAGGTGTGTGCGGTGAGGTGGTGTGTGTGTGGTGTACAGAGGGTACGTAGGGGGCTGTGTGAGCGGTGAGGAGGTGTGTGCGGTGAGGTGGTGTGTGTGTGGTGTACAGAGGGTACGTAGGGGGCTGTGTGAGGGTGAGGAGGTGTGTGCGGTGAGGTGGTGTGTGTGTAAAGGTAGGGGGCTGTGTGAGGGTGAGGAGGGGGGGTGAGGTGGTGTGTGTGTGGTGTACAGAGGGTGTGTGAGGGTGAGGAGGTGTGTGCGGTGAGGTGGTGTGTGTGTGGTGTACAGAGGGTACGTAGGGGGCTGTGTGAGCGGTGAGGAGGTGTGTGCGGTGAGGTGGTGTGTGTGTGGTGTACAGAGGGTACGTAGGGGGCTGTGTGAGCGGTGAGGAGGTGTGTGCGGTGAGGTGGTGTGTGTGTGGTGTACGAGAGGGTACGTAGGGGGCTGTGTGAGCGGTGAGGAGGTGTGTGCGGTGAGGTGGGTGTGTGTGTGTAGGGGGTGTGTAGCAGGAGGGTGTGGGTAGGGGGTGTGTGTGAGCGGTGAGGAGGTGTGTGCGGTGGGGTGGGTGTGTGTGTGGTGTACAGAGGGTACGTAGGGGGCTGTGTGAGCGATGAGGAGGTGTGTGCGGTGAGGTGGGGGTGGTGTGTGTGTACAGAGGGTACGTAGGGGGCTGTGTGAGGGGTGAGGAGGTGGGGGGGTGAGGTGGTGTGTGTGTGGTGTACAGAGGGGTACGTAGGGGGCTGTGTGAGCGGTGAGGAGGTGTGTGCGGTGAGGTGGTGTGTGTGTGGTGTACAGAGGGTACGTAGGGGGCTGTGTGAGCGATGAGGAGGTGTGTGCGGTGAGGTGGTGGTGTGTGTGTGTGGTGTGTGTAGTGTACAGAGGGTACGTAGGGGGCTGTGTGAGCGATGAGGAGGTGTGTGCGGTGAGGTGGTGTGTGTGTTGGTGTAGAGGGGGGTGTGACGGTGAGGGGGGCGTGTGTGTGTGGTGGAGGGGGAGGGGGTGTGCGGTGAGGTGGTGTGTGTGGTGTACAGAGGGTACGTAGGGGGCTGTGTGAGCGATGAGGAGGTGTGTGCGGTGAGGTGGTGTGTGTGTGGTGTACAGAGGGTACGTAGGGGGCTGTGTGAGCGGTGAGGAGGTGTGTGCGGTGAGGTGGTGTGTGTGTGGTGTACAGAGGGTACGTAGGGGGCTGTGTGAGCGGTGAGGAGGTGTGTGCGGTGAGGTGGTGTGTGTGTGGTGTAGGGGGCAGAGGGGGTGGTGCGTAGGGGGCTGTGTGAGCGGTGAGGAGGTGTGTGCGGTGAGGTGGTGTGTGTGTGTGGTGTACAGAGGGTAC